TGTTATCTATGATGTTGTCAATAAAACTCTTTAAACTTGACACCAACGAAATGAATTTTTTATTGTTTTAAACCAGCTGCTTTGGACGTTTCGTTGTATTATATATAAAAAAGATAAAAAACTGTTTAGTGTCGAATTTAATGAGTTAAATCCAATACAGATATGAGTATGCAAATATCCATTCAAAGCATACAAGATGATAATTTGTTATCATCTAAGCAAACGCTTCGCTGTTTCTCTCGATTTTAAATCAATTATCGATGGACGTTTACATGCAAAGGCTCCCGACAATGCTTATCTTTGTTTCATAAGCATATCTGTTATTGAAAAGTTGATGAAACTTAAATGCTTATTCAAATGAATTGGCATTGGCTTTGAAGTTATAACTGAACTTCAAAGCTAAATAAGAAGCCTTGATATGTCAATCAAATTTTTGATGAAAACCAAACCAAGGTCGTTATATTGCTCTGGCTGACAGCCTTTAGCACTCGTCACTTTCTCACGGTTCCTTCCTCCCAAAATTGACACTTTCTATCACGTATGGAACCACATGAAGATCTGGACGGACAGCCGTTTCGCTACCACCCTTTCGACCGCTTGCACTGAGTACCGCACCTCGATACCACAACACACCACCGTAACGACGGCGGCGGCTGGCCTCCTACCTGGCACTCGGTGTGGATCAGACGGACACCCCCTCGGAGACTGTGGGCCCGCCCCCCGCCGACGGCCCTTATATACCTTCAGCGCGTGCCAGCCGGCCGGGCCCTTACTTGGTGGGGTGGCCCGTCGGCGGCGACACGGCGCGCGCAGCCGGCAGCGCGTCGGGCCCGACGCCGTCGGCCGGCCGGCCGCGCCGCCCACCAAATATGGCAGAGGGGACGGGCGGCGGCGATGGTGGCGGCGGCGGCGACCGGCCAGCAGCCGCCGCCGCCACCGCCCGTGAGTACGCGCCCTTGTCGCGGTCCTGTTTTAGCCGCCGGCGTCCCTCGCAGCGGTGATTTAGTTAGCGGGAGGGATGGGGGAGGGGACCACCCGTTGCGGGGACAGTGGAGACGGGGAAGAGATAGGTGGCTGTCCTGTTCCCACTGGCATCCGTCCTCACTGCCATCAACCGTCTATACCTGCTTTGCTTGCTTGTGCCACGCGACCCTGATGTTTTTGGACTATCTCTAATTTAGTTTTGATTGCATTTGTGACATCGTTTTCATCTTCGGGGCATATAAGAAATCTCGGTAGGTAAGCATGTGCTCGTATCTTGTAACGACTCCATCCACTGAGACAAGTGCCTCAGTAAAGCGACCGGACCTGTGCCAATAGTGCTTGGAAATCCGGAATGTTATTGACAATAATCGACATTAGGGCCCCCTAATGAAGTTTAGTGGCTCGACGAGGCGCGAATTGGAGACTCCGCGAGCCGCCTGGTCCGAGGCAGGGTCGGGAGAACACTCTGTGGGGAGGGGGCGAGGACGGGGAGGGAGGGGGAAACGGGACGGAGGTCCACCATACAGGTTACCACGGCGCACCAATCGGCGGTGGCGGTTTTGGCCCGGCATTGGGCCGCGGCCGGGGACCGGTGAGCCGCGGCGGTGTTTTCCCTAGTGCCCAGGTGAGTGCAACACCTGCCGCGGCGCGAGACGCGTGCCCGCCTACACCGGTATAGGCGTCGAGAGACTTGACCAAGTGTTCCGGGGCTGTCCCAATGTTAACCTAGAAACGCGGAGGTCGTCTTGTACCGCTTTCGCGTCAGAGCTCAGCGGATAGGGTTCAGAGGGGGCCGCCGGTGGAGGTTCACCGCGACAACCGCTCCGCCGTGCGGCGCAGCAGGGCCGTGTGTGCTGCGATTACCCGGGAAATCAATAACGGATTCCCTAGGGGACCTGTTCAGACGCCCGGCTCTTTTTAGACCTGTCCCACCCGATGGGAGCTTTGTGGTGTCGGTCGGGGTGACACGGACGACGCGGTCGCCGTCTACGATCACATTCAGGCGATATGTCGCTATATATCGAACTTTTGGGGGTCATAATAGACACCGTCGCCACTGTCCGGTTATCGACTCTGAGTGTGCCAATACACTACAATTGCCTATCGGTTCCAGTTGGGGCATTTGGTGGTAGATGAGGAGCGCAACCAAAAAGTGGGTGAGTACGGCCAATAACAGCCAAATGGGAATGGGAGCACGGGACAATGGCGATAGAGGAGGAAACACTAATCGACATTAGGGCCCCCTAATGAAGTTTAGTGGCTCGACGAGGCGCGAATTGGAGACTCCGCGAGCCGCCTGGTCCGAGGCAGGGTCGGGAGAACACTCTGTGGGGAGGGGGCGAGGACGGGGAGGGAGGGGGAAACGGGACGGAGGGGACAGCCGTCAGTCTGCGGCAGAGGCCGGCGGGGAGCGGAGATGGACCGCGGACAGCGCGTCCCCCGCCCACCATCCCCACACAGCGGCCCCTCTTCCTTTCTTTTTCTCTCTCCTTCTCTCGTTTTTTTTTTTTAACTCCACTCCTGCGTCGTTGTCTTTGTTAGTTGTCCCCAGTAATAGGTACCGTCGTCTCACCCAAGGTTGTGGTAGATGAGGAGCGCAACCAAAAAGTGGGTGAGTACGGCCAATAACAGCCAAATGGGAATGGGAGCACGGGACAATGGCGATAGAGGAGGAAACACTAAAAACATGGTATTCCTTACTCTCCTGCGTATAATATTTAAGGTGCCAGAATTATTGCAATTTCTGACACCATTTCGCTCCTAATTGGGCTAGAGCTTCGCAGGAAAAGAGCCTGCTGTGATGGGTGTTGTAAGATGAAACGAATGGTACCTACCCAAAATCAAAATCATCAGGACAGCCGATGAACTCCAAAGTCAGTTCAACAACCATAAACTCAGTTAAATAACTCTGAAACAGAACATTTTTTAGTGCTCTAGCGAGGAACATATTGAATATAATCAAACGAATAAATGAAGTTAATCTTTTCCTCGAGACGGTGTAAACGATCACTTCGTCGATCTAAATATATACTATTCGGCCTGTACATTTCCGATGTCGAGGAAAAGTCCAACTGCATTATTTAAACTAGAAAAAGGCTAAGTTTTGAACTCAAACACGACCACAGATAAGCTACAATGACCCTGGATAGCCTTAAAACATAGCGGCTGTTGTGTGGCAGCGAGCAAGCATAAAATGCGAAGCACTCTTTGAGCATAGCGGAAATATAAGCAGCCCGGCCGGCGGCCCGGCCTGAAAGGCTTTTAAAAGGGTTCAAAGCTACAACCGTTTGATGAGGGTCTTCCGCATAGGGTAACCTCATCCCTTCAAGCGTCCGTAAGCACATCAACAAAATGCCTTCTGGCCTGGGTGACCTATATGGGCCGACGAACGAAATAGTGGCACCGAACTTGTGCATTTGCAAAGTAAGACCCCAACTTTTTATGGGTACGACCCTTTTAGCTGGTCCCGAACGGTGCACTAGGCTACAGTGTAATCGTTCCAGCTGTTAAAAAACTCAAAATGTTTATTTTTTTACTTTACCTATAAGGGTCTTACTTTATCCTACCTAGTTATACCTAGTCATGCACTGAAAATAAAAACCCTGTTTCCATATGCATTATTCATAGACCGGATGTCTTCCCTGGACTGACGGGGAGGACTTTTCTGACTTCTTATCTCTAGTCTCTCCACCAACTGTCCCTCACTCCTCAGGCTAGACTGCAGAGTGTAAATACTGATCGGTATGAAGTCGGCTCCTCGTGACAGTCAGTTGGACCCGCTCAGATGAGGCATGCCACCGAGGCCGTGTGTGATCCCTCCTGCCGGAATGACGGTCGGTGCCGTCGGCCCACTGCCAGGCCGACTGGCTCACTGGAGCCCAGAAATAAGCGGAGGCCAGGCCCAGTCGACCGCCGCGGTGGCCTCGCACCGCCCGCCTCCCGCCCCTGGCCACCGCCCACCGTCTCGCGCTGTTCAGTCTCATCGAGGCTCCGACCCCGCCCACCGCCAACCGTCCACCGCCCCCTGCCGCCAGACTGTCGTTGTTTTTTGTCGGATTAGGGCGCGTGCCGCCAGTTTGTCGCCAAACTCTCAACACCCAATTAATGCTCGGCATTCCGTTTGCACTTATCCCTCCGTCGCAATTATCTGCTTCGAAGTCGGGACATTGCGGTGGTATGTAATTGTGTGAAGCGTAGAGGGGACGCCTGCACAGCCGCTGACAGAGCTGGAATATAGGACATCATCTGCTATCCGTCACGTGCATTCTTATCTATCTTGTGCATCTTATCTATCTTCTTATCTAGTCAGTCCTGGTCTTCCTGCCAAATGGACATGTCTCGCCACGGTGCTCTCTCCTTCCTCACAGTTCCTGGATTTCTAGCTCAACATTCCGGGAACGGGAATCACTGTTTCATAACTAGCCCCCAGCGCCGAAGTTTTACTAGTTCCACGTCCGTCCCCTCGAGTTTCATCTGTCCCGGTAGAGCTAGAGGTCGGTAAGCTCGGACTCAAAACCCCTGCGGTGTACTACCACCACTCCGTCCGTCCCGTGCCCGGGGCCGAGGCGGTGTGAAGAGGTGCTCTCTCCGAGGAGCCCACTCCGACCCCGCCAGCGCCACCGGCGCCGCCGGGGCTATATTCAGAGCATGACCAACGAGAGAACGCGTCAGCGGGAGCCTCGCTCCCTCCCCTCCCCTCTCCTCCCTTCCCTCCTTCCTTCGCGAGGTCTGGGGTGGGTAACACCTGTCCCACGTAGCTCACAGGCAGTCACAGACAGTCCGACGATAATGGGGACCTCCCACAGTCTTCGAGAGTATCCGTTACACAATACACATACATACAGACGAAATCTCCTGTTAAAACTGATCGTATTTCTGAAATCCATGAACGTTTCAATCACTGCAACAGATACATCCCAAATCACGCTAATTTTCATATTTCAATCAACTATTTCTTTGTCAAAAAGGGTCAGCTTAAAAAGTCGACTTACGGTAAGGGTCTTGACATGACCGAACTCCCCTTCTTCTATCGATAACTTACGGCGCATGCCTCAGTAGAGCCCACAACCACTGGCAGCATAGGGACACGGTGAATGTCACTGTTGGCGGCTCCTTTCCTCCAGACATGGCAAGTCTTGAGGGATGTGACTATTCTATTCAAACTGTTTTTAAATATTTTGCACATTAGTTGAAGCATAGCCGGGATAATAAGTGAAAATGTTGTTGGCATTTGAGTTATAATGAAATGCATATTGGCATTCAGGAATAGTGGATGTGCCTTTAATTGTTGTCATAACTTAGATACGTGTTAGGAAGCATTTTGGTGGAAAGTCGCGCCTCCATGAACATCAATAGCTTGGTAACGTAATATTATGAAGAAAGAAGAAACAAGCCACAAAATATGTTCACCCTCACTGTTGTTTTTTTCTCCCTCTCACTCTTTCTCTCTCTCTCTCCCTCTCTCTCTCTCTCTCTCTTTCTCTCCATCTCTCTCTCTCCATCTCCCTCTCTCTCTCTCTCTCTCTCTCTCCTCTCTCTCTCTCTCCTCTCTCTCTTCATCTCTCTCTCTCTCTCTCTCTCTCTCTCTCCTCTCTCCTCTCTCTCTCTCTCTCTCTCTCTCTCAGGGTTGACAGTTTGGCACTGACGAGAAGCTGGGTCAGTGTGTCAACCCCCACGGCAGCCGAGGACTGTCCGTCACAGGAGGGTCGTCTGACCTCCCGTGTCGCGTCACCTACTGAGCGACCTCAGATATGTTTAATGGTTTCAGATAGATTTCATGGTTTCAAATAGATTCCCCAGATAGACGTGGTGGCCTCACTCGAGCTTTGGTGATCCGAAGCAGATGCGATGGCTCCAGATGGATTTGACGCTCTCGACGATAAGGTGCACGTAGATTCGGTGATCACTGATCACAGCTATTTTTGGTGGTCCCAGGCCGATTAAGCGATCATACAGTTATACATATATACCTACCCGTAGGCTAGGCCATTCTAATTACATGCATATATTTGGTGGCCCCTGGATGTTTTAGAGACTCCAATTTAATTCTGAGATTTGAAATAGACTCGGTGTTTCTGAGAATTGATGATATGAAATATATAAAGATATATCCCGTGGATATAGAGGAAAATTTGGAGAAACCTGCACTACGTATGCAATCGTTGGTTTGCTTTCAAATTTGCTCTCTGGATTAGTGGCTTAATATTAAATTTTATCGCAGTCTTTTAACGTTTTATGCAGAAAAAAATATTGTTAATGTTTTGTCGACATCTCGAACTTTGGAGCTTTGTACATGGTTATGTTATGAAATATGCTAGATTACTTGTCCCAAGTTCCCAACCTTAGATATTTGTAGGACATGCGCAACGTTTTTTTTTTTGTTTTTTTTTTTTGCACCCAGGTTGACAGACATCGTGCAATAAAACGTCAGGCAAAAAAATAATATATGACACCTAGGTTAGACCATTTTTGTTGCAAGTTTTGGGACTGAAAACAAATCGATACAGAAAAGGCACTAAAACTTCAAACGAATTCAACTAGACGTTTGAAACCTCCATCGAAGAGTCCAGTGTGATGCGACACTTGTGATCTGGAGCCACGCGGGCTAATTATGAAATAAAATAAAAATACATTCATAACTGGCCGCATCAGCTCATTGATGAAGCCATCTGAGAGGCCCCATCGGGCGAGCCTAAGCTACGAGGGCGACTGAGGAGGCTGTGGGGGCGGCTGCGGAGCCTGTAGAGGGGCGGCTGAGGCTGTGAGGGCGGCAGCTATGAATGTTTCGACTCGCCGGGTCGGCGGCAGCCGAGGGCGGCGGTGGCGGCCAGCTCTCTGCCGTGACGTCATCGGCCCGGTGGGCGCCAAAAATAACGCCCCTCCCGGTGCCCTGGCTCGAACCGACCGGCGCGCCGCCACCGCCGGCATCATTGACCTTTTAAGGCAAGGACACTCAGCGTGCAAATGTAGGTAGGTGTGTTGAGGGGGAGTGTTGTGTTTTGTTTTTGTATTTGATAACAAGTTCTTTGTTTTTGCTTGCACTAAAAAGCGACATTCGCTAACAGTTAAGTTACAGTAATTGGTTAGCCGCTATTTAGAGCTTGGAACAGAATAGCCTCGAACTCCTTGTCTTAGTAATTTGGTAGAATAATTTTGATTTTTGTCGTATTTTAGAATCGTGACTTAATTTAAAATAAGAAGTCGAATGTATGCAAATACACGTTCTATACAAGGATATAATTAAAATTCAAGACGAAAAAAAATTGGAGCGAAAGACATCAAACAAGCCCAATTCGTTGTTTCTAAAAACTTAACTCTGACACTTATGATAAATGAGTTTATGACATTTACGTGCAGCCGGTAAGCACATTAAAATCTTGCGCTATTTATTACATTATTCTTATGAAGTGATGGGGACTTTCTCGGCTGAATTTTGTTACCTATCGTTTCTGCCTCGATTCGTTTGATGTGCACATCATGAAAGTGTTTTTCAACAGCCTCAGTCATTTTTCTCTGGCTCTGATTTCAGCGAGGACATTCACGACAACATCTGCGGCCAGCCACAATCCGGTTGATTCTCGGGCTCATGATATGAAAATGTGAACCGGCAGTGCTTCTAGCTCCGACTGAGCCATTTGACGGTTAATCGTTGGGCAGTTCGCCAGTTCAACAGTGGGCCAGAGATCCCACCAACAGTGAGCCTAAAGACAGTGAGAGGTACGACCACGCGCTGACAAGCAGTGACTCTGAGACAGTGATTTGACCAGCAGTGACCAGCAGTGACCCTCACGGCCCAGTGAAATAGGAGTGAGCTCCGGACCTCGATTCTCGACTGGCGGCGGACTGCAGTGACTGACTGGCCGATTCCCCCACCCAGTCTGCCTGTGTCCCAGGCCGAGGTCCAACAGTATGAACCACACTGTCCGCGTAAAGGTGCTCACTCTGGGCAGCTGTCAGACCGGCAAAAGCTGCCTGGTGAAGCGCTACTGCGAGCGCCGCTTCGTGCCCAAGTACCTTCCGACCATCGGGATCGACTATGGCGTGACTCGCATCACCGTCGACGGTGTCGACGCGCGGGTGCACATTTTTGACACGTCGGGCCGTCGGCTGTTCGCCGACGTACGCACCGAGTTTTACGCCGGTATGACGGCGGTGCTGTTGGTGTATGACGTTACCGAGAGAGCCAGTTTCGCAGCTCTGGACGGCTGGCTGAGGGAGCTGTCCGGCGACGGCAGCCCGCCGCTGCTCGTCGTGGCCGCTAATAAGACAGATCTGACACCCCGAGACGTGTCCGCAGAGGAGGGCGAGCGGTGGGCGGCCCGAATCGGTGCACCCCACTTCCAGGTGTCGGCCAGCTCCGGCGCCGGGGTGCAGCAGCTGTTTGACGAGTTCTTCCAGATGGCAGTGCGGTCGGCGGCTGGCGGCCGGCACCGCGAGGCGGCGCCACAGTCGCCGTCGCCAGGCAGCGCTCCGCTCGCCTCCTGGCTGCGACGCATCTTCAGTGCCCCCAACGACTGGGATAAGCTGGGTTTGAGGCCCGGCTACACGAAGGAGCAGGTCAACAAGGCCTACAAGACGCTGGCCGTGATGCTGCACCCGGACAAGAACGGCAGCCCAGAGGCCGCCGAGGCGTTCCGGATCGTCACCAACGTGCGCAACAACCTGCTGAAGACGTTCTCGTCACCGTCTTAGCTATGTCTTGTCAGGTCGCCGAAAAAAAGATTAGAGCAACCACTTGGCCTTTCAGTTACAAACCACCCTTATGAGCACGTCGGTTTGGAGGAACGATGTCGTTACTGTCGAGTATTATGGTACCGTCAGTTGGCCCTAAGGCTTCTTACATCGGGTCACTCGGATAGTAAGTATTGTACTGTTGAGTGAGCTGTATTTCTCGTTTACTTCGTGTAACTATTAAGTTCGTTTGAGACCATTGTTGATGTTGATGATAGAATAATAAGATGGAAATAAAAGCTCAGAAGCTATGTTAAATGCCATGATCTTATATGCACTCTCATTTGACTACATAGTAACTAACTATATAGGTAGTAAGGTACTACCTATTATGTCAAAAACAGTTACTTTTTCTTTAATAAACTGAGCTAGAGTGTTTGAATGAACGAATTCACAGAGCCAACTTGACAGAGCCGGAGCACACTCAGCACACAGAGCTTGTTGCGTAAACCTCGACCCGTTAACATCGCACGGTGTGACAATTCCAGGTAACGACAGATTATTGTCAAAGGTGTTTCACAAATGCGATCTTGTTTACCTTTATATTTCGTAGTCCGTCGGTCTCTTTTCGATCTGATAAGGCCACGTAAGAGCTTTGAGTTTGGGGTGATAGAATAGTCTTGTGTGGCATGAGATAACCCAATTGACGGATTCATTGACGTTGGTAGCTCCGTCTCCTGACGAAGCTACCAACTCGAATGAATCGGTAAAGAATTCGATCGTTGCCTTGTCACCAAGTGGTCTTTCGGAGCAGCCTCGGCGGCGCACCACGTCTCCAGCCGTCCATAAACCCCTCATACCGTGCCCGGTAAATCGTCCTGGCACGTGGCATCAGCACTTTAGCCGTGTCGTGCAACCCAGCCCCCAGCCAACAGACTGCACGAACAGCGACTGAATTCCTGTGAACAGAATTATGTGTTCGGTGACCTTCAGTTATGGGACTATTCGACCCACCTGAAATCTGAGAATAGCTGTGACCTGATGAAATAATGTTTATTTCGCAAAACATAAAAATGCAGCGATGATAGATTCTAGGATTTATCGTAAAAGATCATTCCAAGCAAGAAATAAACACATTTCTACAAAAAAAAAAATGGATATGAAGTTTTGTAATGTCATGGTTTAGGTAAGAAAATATGAGGAAGACGTTATCTTTTTATAGATTTGCACTTGGTTGTAACCAGCCTATTATACGAATAAGGGTACATTAGTTCATAACAGGTTATTTCCGTACAACATTGCTTCGGAAAAAAAACATTCCTTTTTAAATCGTTGGATATCACAGTTTTATTTACCGGCTGTCAAACTATGCATGGATGCACTGCAATCGTGGTGAAGTCTGCATCATGCAATCCAGAGGTTCGCTATGCAGGATAAGATGAGCCAATTTAACGGCGGTCGACTCAGCCCACCGTGGCACAGACTACAGGATTGCTGCAGAGCCCCTTTAAAACGCTGCCTGAGACCTGGCAGATGTAAGCCCCGCTCAGCGAGTACACTGACAATAGTTAGGCACCAAATACCATGCAGGCAGGCACTGTTGTTGTAGGTCAAAGAAGCCTGATAGATACTTCTCGCAGCTGAAGTGAAGGTCGTTTGATTAGTTTTTGGTGTGAAAGTAATTGGGCGATAAGTAAAGTAATTTTGTTGAGGCAATTACGGTAAAGGCATCCAGACATTTAACGTCCGTAATTTGCTTGATCTGTTCAAATATAGGCATTTAAGATGTTATTGACTTGATGTGAGATGACTTTGAAGCTATTGAACCGAATAAAAAGAACCGCATTGCAAAAAAAGGCCGATTGACCTTATTGACAGGCAACATAACTGAAATGGTCTTGTGACACAAATAAAACCCCGAAACGTACACATTGGTACACTTCATCATCTCCATCGATCGCGGTTAGTCAAACGCACCCGGTGACTTCCTTTACTTGATGTTTCGATATAATAAACTAGAAGAACCAGGGCTGCGGAGTCGGAGTCGGAGTCGGAGTTGAAGTCGGTCGGAGTCGACAATTCTGCCCGAAGTCGGAGTCGCAGTCGCCGAAATCCTACCGACTCCGAGTCCAGAGTCGAAGTTAACGCTGCATGGCTCAACGTCATGCACTGCACCTGTTTGATTGACGATATTGCGCTCGAAATTAGATTTTGTCGAAAAAAGACCACTTTACTGTTTTGAACAAACGTTTTCAGCTGAGCGAAAGATGCAGAAGACGGTGAATTCCCCAGAACCTGCTTTTTAATTCTGTTCTGCATGCTATTTTTAATGCGTATTTGCAACGCAAAGCCCTGGAACGCACAAAGGATCGTTTCAGGCAAAATAAAACATTTTGAACTTCAATAACACGATATGGATTTTAATAGAACCGTCCGGAGTCGGAGTCAGAGTTGGAAGTCGGAGTCGGTGTCGGTTTTTGAAGCTGGAGTCGGAGTCGGAGTCACCCTAAAATCCATCGATTCCGCAGCCCTAAGTAGAACACATAAAAAAGATGCAATGCAGCATGTTTCAATGAATTTTCTTCCCCAAAGAAAATTCTCATTTCCTTTCTCAGAAGCTGAGAAAAGATCAATAGCCATATGAAGCGTTATATCACATGCACATCACGATAGTTATCTGAATAAATATGCCACCTCCGACGAATTTTTCTGGATAAAGGAGTTCACACGACCAGGTTTAAACGCAGATCTTCTCACTAGGCATTCAAATTCCAACTTGGTGACTGAGCTGACTGCTGAGCCTTCCAAAGAATCGGCTTTGGGGCCCAAGTCTGCCACGCCCGGTCACGCACTATCGAAGGCTTCCGACCATTCCATAGACAGAGCTGGACCGCTGCGCCGAGCAAGTTTCCAGGACGCGGAGCAAGATGCGTCTCGGCTGCACCACGAGATATTCAGTGAGTTCGGGTGCCTATCGCCTACATTTCCTTATGTGATATACGCATATTTAAGTGCCGGCCTTGGTGAGCGACGCCTAGCCAAGCGGCTCAGACTGAGTGCTCGTTCGGATACCTAAGACATGCCATATTTGTGATAATGCAGGCTCGATGCTGGCCAAGGCGACTCTTGTGCGCCCTTCATTTCCAGATATAGCTACTGACGTAATTCGCAACGCACGCAACGTGTGACCGACCAACGGCTAACCTTTGCCCGCCCGACCACCCAGAATAGCCTTCCTCGGAACCGATAGGCCTCGTTCCAAACTCGATTATCTGGCGCGCAATTAAATGATTAGAGACAGGACGAGCAAGAAGGATGGCATAGAATTGGAATTCGCCCAAAGAGAATTACAAACCTCGGTGAGCAATTATATACTGATGAGCTTGAAGTTTAGATATTACAAAAATGTATGTCACTCATCACTCAAGTTTTCTTCACATTTTTTTTTTCGGACTCTGTCAAATTCCGACTATTGCCATTTGCCTCTTGTCCTGTTTCAAACGAAAGCTGTCGTCAAAAACTGGCAGAGATTAAAGTAAGTGACTTGACCTCAGCTGACCGTTTTAGAAATAAAAGACCGAGTTGTAACTATCGCTGATGCAATAGCTGAGACCGTCCCGTGAGACAGGCTATTTTTCATCAGCATTCGGCATCCACTGTCCATGGCAGACACCGTCTTTTCTTGTGACGGCCCCTCTCCACTCACCGTTACCGTAACTATTATTGTTATTGTTATTGTTACTAACCGAATCAGCCTCTTTCGCGCGAGCGGTCGTTTCAGGTAATGGCAAGGCGGTTAGCGTACTAACGTTATTTCCAGCTTTCTTGTGGGATCCGACTAGTCTGGGATGGATTCAGGCTTTACCTAGATGTTCCAGTCGAATAGCGTCCTAATAACGGATAGTGCTTCTACAAAGTTAATGCAAAACGACGGTATTACCAAAAAAAAACTTCTACCCGCTTAGACGAGCCGGACTAAAAGCTATGACACATCCATCAAACATAACAGACGACACGCCTCGCTTTTTATTAGCATAAAAATGGAAAAACTGACCAGATTCAGTTGTAAATTTGATAATGCATTTCAATTCAACTAAAGTGATACACTTTTAGCGAAAAACGTGCAGCGCTCACCGCGTATAAATTAAAGCTGCTGAACATCCAGCAACACAGCAGCGGGTAAAAAAAATGTTGGACTACATACGCTGGCAAACTGTATCAATAGTCTTGCTCTGCCTGGCTGGTAGTCACGGCAGCTAGACGGCGGTTCTAACTGGGACTAGTTGAGGGGCACGGCTCCGCCGCCGCCCTGCAGATGGTCGTAGTAGTCTCCCCTGCCGTCCATGGAGCGTTTGCAGGCGTACAGCAGACCACCGATCAGGACTATGCCAACAACCACGCCAACCAGAATCATGGCCTGTGAATGGTGAATGCACACAGGTCAATGGCAAATGGTTTGGCGCTGGTATTTCGATAACATGCGCATTCTGTATCAGTCTATGTGGGCTGAAAGTGTTTGTTGGATAACATATCTGTCGAGCCATGCCATTATTAGAATTGAAGGGGAAATATACAATTTAATATTTTGAACGATACTTTTCAGTGCCCCACACTTGTCGTTTCTGTTACTTGCTCTTCCCTTTGATTAGCTGAAAATGTGAATTATTACGATCTCCTAACCAGATGGTCTACCTTCATAAGCGTACTTTGCTATCCTGCCAAAGTGGTGAACAACGGGAAGCGTTTCTTTTAGTAAGTGTAAATCAGTAAGTCTACAAGCAAACATCGCTCTATGATTCTTGAGATTCTACCTATTGAATGGGGAAAGGTTTCTGTCCGGCATTCTGTTCCTTTGGCTCATGACAAGAAACGTCAATATCTAATGTATTGCTCGTTTTCAGAGCACAACCTCTGAATCACCTGTGTCTGTATTTTGAAGCATGAAATGGAAATGGCCAGAGTAGTTGGGCCGCTTAACGAGTCCGTCTTAGTTAGCCGTTATGGTCACGGAAAAAAGCCAGCGATCAACTCACCTCGGTTGTCCGGCTGATGTGGGTCGCCTTGGATGCTGCTGGGGCCACAGTCGATCCAGAATGAGTCATTTTCAGTTGGAGCTTGTGGGCATCCTCGAGTGTGATGTTGTGCATTTTCCCAGCAGTCACATTGGATGATGCCACGCGAGCCGCTTGCACTTTATCTAAAAGAGCTTCCATCGATTTCTTGTACTGATCTGTATTGAGCACTGGGATAGGGATGATGTCGTGAACCACACGGATTCCAATACCAAGAAGATTAATTCTCAGCATATAGTATTTCTGTTCCGCTGTGAGGTAGTGCTTGACATTATACGGCGTTGTTGTTTCAATCTCTTCTTCTGAAGATGTAACATTTGATGTCTCGGTAAGATTTTTGAGCATGTCCTTCAGTTCATCCAACGTTGCCTCTGCAGTTTTGTTGTGGGGATGCTTTTTCTTAACGTGGTGGTCTGTTGGCTCCTCAGATTCGACTTCATTTGATTCTTCGATTACATGTTCATCCGCAGCAGCTTCAGCTTCAGCTATTTCTTCATCGCTTTTTGTGTCTAGTTCTGGTAATGACTCTTTTGAAAGCAGCACACTTTTTGCCGCTAACGCGGGGATAATATATGTAATATAGCATGTAAGCAAAATGTATTCGAATTTCATATTAGCTAAATAACTTTGTTGACATAAAGGAACAAACGCAATAAAAAATAACAACAAAAAAAAAACTCAAAGAAACCACGGTTCGAAATTTCTATGTCAAGGACGACTCCAAAGCACAGCGTTTAATTTTATAATGTTTCTCATGATTACTTCCACGTGACAAAAACAGGGATGGTCTTTGTTCTGTTTCTTTTGGAGAAAATGAATAAGGCCATGCATATCTTGAACATGAAACCCGGGGGAACCCGAGGGAAGCCTGCCAGAAGTCGCCGGAGCTGAAAAATTTCCAATTCTTTCCGGAACCGGAGCTGGGGTCAGGTGCGTTTTAAAACGTTTGAAATTTTAACCAAAGCATTTAATTTAACCTGCACCTTCCTGTGCCTCTTTGAACGGGTGTCACACAAAACATCGAAACGCAACATATCGAGTCGCAAAAACCGAACGTAAATTATCGAATTCGCAAAATATCTCAACCACACAATGGCAGAAGCAAAGGATTGAACAGACCTATAGGATGAGTCGATGACCCAAAAAAACGGGCCCCAACTTTCGATGCTGTCATTCTGATTTCTGGGGAAAGGAATAAGGAGATACCTATATTCTTCGTACCTATTCCAGAACTGGAATACCGCGTAAATATAGAAAAGTGTAACCATGGAATTTGGGCCAGCAAACCTGCGAACGGCGAATGCCTACATGCACGTGGTTACATATTGTGATCGGAGAATATTGTCGATAAATCTAAAATGTCCTTTGTTTAATTGCTGCGCGTTTATTCCGAAGGAATTCCGGACTGAAGCCAGAATTACATCCTCAGCTGGTTGCCAGTTGCATGATGGTTTTCGATATGGGCTGACGACATTTCAAGATGGCTGAAAGTGAAACCTGTTGCCGAGCTGAAGGCACGTCGCCGTCGGCACGCTCGGCTGGATCCAGTCGGTGCCCGAGGAGCGTGCGGCGGTGGCACAGATTCCGCGTACCCCGGCGGCTCGCGGTGCTCGGAAGTTTGTGGCCAGTCGCGCCGGGGAAATGCAGGCCCGTCTCCGCCGGCCGTCTCCGGACATTCCAGCGGCGTTTCGTGACGGCCCGGCCGTGAGGCGGCGCTCCGTGACGGCCGCGACATCCGTGACGAACCGGCGGCCCGGCCCGGACCGGCGGCCGCTTCCGGGGGCCGGCTGCTCGGCGCCCTCTTCGACAAAGGGTTAATGATGTCCACTGTGATTAATGCAGCCGGCTCTTTGTCCGGGCTAATGGCCGGGGCCGGCGGCCGGACGGCGGAGGGGGCGGGCCGGCCGGCGGTGGCAGCGCGCCGGCTCTGAGCAAAGGTCCATCTCTCGGCGCTCAGAGGCGGCCGGCGCTCGCGCGTGTCTGTCTCTGCCGACCAAGTTCGATCGGCTGCAATCTGTCGCCGATCACTGCCGCTGTCAGGCGGAGGTTGACGGCGACATCCTGTCGACCAATGAGCGTCCGGCAGCCGGCCGACCGGCAGCCAATGGGCGGCTCGACTGCGGCGCCGGCCGCGGCGACGATGGCCCCGCGCCGCGCCGCCAGTGGTGTCAGCAGCTCGCTGTGGGTGGGGGTACGCTCGGCGGTCGGCGGTGACCCGGTGATGGTGCGCGGTGACCGGTGACGGCGACAGGTGACCGCTCCGGTGACAGTGCAGCGGTGTAACGAGTGGGTTGCGCAGCGATCATGCGGCGCGGCGCGCGGGCGCACCTCGACCAGCAGCACGGCGCGCCGGCCGGACTCTGAACAATGCACCTGCTGGGCACACTGCTGTGCCTCACCGTCGTCTGGGAAGCGACCGGCGCCATATCGTGGCTGTAAGTCGGCCAGGGAACCCACTGGGACAGGGAGAAATAACTTTCAACACCCTCCCAGTCAGTCCCCCACATCGGCGCACCCCACCGTGTACCTGCTGAGCTGCTGGCTTTAGGATGCTACACGAGGGCACCTAGCTTTCACAGCCCTCCCCATTACACTGCCACCCGTATACAACAGTCCAGTGTAGCCAAGCTCTATATGTCCGCACTGTGGCGCCCTCCATCCCAGCAGGAGGTCATCCACATTACACAGGCCGGCCGTGGAGCGCCGGGGCCGATTTTCCCGACTGGGGCGGTCACTGAGAGCCCCAAATCGGCGGCCACGGCGGACCGGCGTGTGCCTCACTCATGGCTCTACACCACACATCGTTTCAGAGGAGTTAGTGGTTGAAGGCGTCAAATTTATATCGCAGAGCTAAGCTCACCACTCACCAGTCTAGCCTCGCAAATATAACATTTTACTTACAGATTTTCATTAGACTTAACTATAGGGGTACCTTTTCAAATGTTTTAGAATCTTAGAAAATATCATCGGTTTTTATTTCATGACCTGCCTGAGAGTGGTGAGTGATCCAAATAAACACAAGACAAGCAGTGGTCCTGATGTATGACCCGCTTTATGTTTTGTAAAATATAATTCTTGCACTCTTCGAAATACCAATTCAAAATTCGTCTTTTATAATAGACCTTTATGAGTGCAGAAATATGTTCGATGTTCATCCAAAGAACCATGTTCAACGTCCTCTGGCAACATTATATATTGATATCCGAGAAGTAATTCAGCAGCCCTTCACTATTCAGTTTTATGTATAGGATGTAGGCGAGGAGGAGACTATGCTAAATGCTTATGGTGATGAAATGGACCTGTTCATGCTTGAATGCATTGTACATCAAGTGAAGTAGCAATTACCTTCAAGGCTTCTCGGAGCTTTATTGAAACGAGTAATAAATGAGTGAACTTTTAAAATCAGTGACGAAGTAAACAAAACTTTGGTCAACTATATGTAGGTATATGCCTATAAATTCATGAACGTTGAGCAAGGAGTATAATCTAACCAAATTAGTAAAGCTTCTTGCTTTAAATGGTTAATTTCTTGAGATAAGTCTGCTGCAAAAGTCTAGCTCTGATGTACTCGTATAATTAAATGTCAAGGAACAGCTTATCATTCAAACATACTTATTACTTATGTACATACCTATATACATCAGTTTGAGCAGAGTAGACTTAATACCCTCTGTGTATGTTATACTGCATTTGTAACTGTCGTAGCACGTTTTGCGAAGCTATGTTCTTCTTTGAGACGGTCTATTATTTTATTCGTGGATGTAGAGCTCTGGGGAAAATATTTGAAAAAATACGTGCTCTCGCATAACATCATATCATATCCTATCCTATGTTTACAGCAAAAACGAGCAAAAACGCCACTGTAATTTGTAAATATCGAGGCTTTCTATCACCTCCGATACCATCTATTGTAATTGACGTGCCTACATAATGAAACATCACGTTGAGCTCGTGACTGGTTAAATTACTCATCAATTAAAGCAGCCTGAGTAATGCGGATCATTATCATACCGGGGCCAGATCAGGACGATAGCAAAATGCCTCGTTCAGCAGCTTATGGTAAGCAAAGAATGCCATCAGAGATTGATTGAGTGGTTCTAGAACGGTCTCTTCTCGTTCCTTCGCAAGTGACCTAAAGGCATCATCAGGATGAGAGCATATCTTATCCCAAGAAATCGGCAAAAACTAGTTTTCTCCATTTTCGCTTGACGTATCTAAAGGCTGGATAAGTTTGTCGGTGGGTGTTTTTATATCAACTGCCCAGGGCTGGATGTTTTTTCAGTGTCTGCTGAAGCGTGCCTTTCACCGCCTGTCCGGCACGGCTGCCGAAATAACTGACGGGAGACGTGCGATATGATGGGACCCACTCGGGGGCTGAAAGGCAAAGAGCTACACAGGGCGGGACAGGCATCGGCGACGTTCCACCGATAAAGGCCTGGGTCCATAACTTAAGCGTTGAAGACGGGTGACTTTACGGTGAAAACTGACACTTCACCATAATCCTGAGACAGGCAGCTCGGATTTCTGTGCCCTTACCTAGGCGACCGTAACCTCTCAACCAAACTGCCCGTCTGCCCAGCGTATATACGAGTACGCACGGTACGCGTGCGACTCCATCCGCCTCCCTCCCCTGAACTCCAGCTCAGATCAGCGTGAAACGACCCCCGGCCGGCCGTCCAGGTAAAACAAATGACTGTTCTGTCCGCCCCCCGGGTGGCGGCCCGTGTCCCGCCACCCCTCAGTACTCCGGGGGCGCCTCACCCGCCGGGGCGCCTCACTCACAGGGGCGCCGGGCGCCGCCCGACTCCCGGAAACGGGCGCCGTCCAGCCGCGCACAACGGTCGGCTGGAGCCGACAATAACCCGGCCCGTTCCCCTTCTGTGCCGTTTAATGGGCCTGTTTTACCATTTTTGGTGTGCGCCGCTCGCTGAACCGTGCTTTAGGCATAATGGGGCAGTATTAAAACACGCCAATATTGCCTCTTTAATGTCTGTTTGTTACAATAGATCTTCGGAAATGGGACAAGGCTATCAATGGTATCCCTTGAGCGCCCCATGAGATCTCACCAATCTTGATCCTGACTGAAGATTGACGGCGTCTTACCAATGTCTCACACACGAGGAAGCATATCTGACCTGACCCTATGTAGTCTAATCCACATCTTTGCGCATGTTTCAGAGCGTTTAAGCACGTTGAGCCAGAGACGTGGAACTCGACCCGGCTGTGTCACCTGTCGCGGAAGCACCACGGCTTCGTGAACCGCCAGGTGAAGTTGTGTCGCAAGTACCGCGATGTCATGCGCCACGTGCACACGGCCAGCCACCAGAGCGCCGCCACGTGCCAGGCGATATTCGCCAAACACCGCTGGAACTGCAGCAGCATCAACCTGGCGCCCAGCTACCTGCGAGATTTGACGGCAGGTGAGAAGGGAGCTGGGAGACCGCTGGGAGTTTGAGCAATGACGTGATGGTGTTTTGGATATTTATACTGGACCATATAAAAGTGATTGAGCTGATGTGTTTAAAACATTATTCGCACGCAGAGCTATATAGATGGGAATATCGAATATCATGAAACTTATTGATCTTTTATTGCATGGCCCTTGAACTTACAAGGAATATGCCAGTCATTATTCGAAAACTTTGGAATCTCCATTATCGTGCATTCCGGTACGGACGTGGTATTTCAGTTCATCATGCTATCACATTAACATATTCAACTTTATAGCATGTTTTCTTTCCTCTTTACATCGAAAAGTGGAACTGAAAGACCAGGAAAGGCCAGAACGCCAACAAAATTCACCGTGATTCCTCATTTCGTCAACAGAACTTCATGCTCGTGGTGAGAAGCGTTTGGGCTGCTTGCATCACATTCCACCTTTCTTGAATTAAGTCGTGCAAACCGCATCACTCGGCACTGTCCATGCGGTGTTCTGGACCCGAACCCGACACGGGAACTGACTGGCGACTGTGTCTGTTTACAGGGACGCGTGAGCAGGCGTTTGTGTACGCGCACAGTGCCGCCGCTCTGATGCACTCTGTGGCGCGCGGCTGCAGCGCCGGCACCATATTCTACTGCGGCTGTGGGCGGACGCCGCGACGCGCGCCCGACGGAGACTTTAAGTGGGGAGGGTGTGGAGACAACACCAAATTCGGCCGGCGCTTCGCCAGGAAGTTTGCCGACTCGGCCGATCGGAGAAAATCAAAACGAAGGACGCCTGAAGAGAGGCTCCGAGCCAAAGTGAATCTGCATAATAACCGAGCGGGCAGTAAGGTGAGTTCCATTTCAAGCTGGAGCGGGTCCGGGGAGCCATATGTAGCTCAGGAGCTCTGACTCACAGTGCGTGATGTCTGGCCAGCAGTTCCATAGCTCCCTATCTTGATCCCGTTGAGGTGATGCACCGTAGGGATATTTCCGATCTAGCCTGTCTTAAGTCCCAGAACCGACTTTTCATTTCAATCATTCTTTCGACTTCATTTAGCGTAAAATTGTCTGAATTTTCACGTTATGTATCTCATTCTACCTAAAATAATATTTTTGAGCACAAAAAATGAGCCCAAAGTCAGGCCTTGCTTACCTAACACGCCGGGTGAAATTGAATGCTAAAAACTAGTACTCGTTTATGGGGCTGATAACTCGAAAACAATCATTTCCAGCATTATAAATCGCATATGGTCAAAAAACTACATCGTTTCGGATTATGCAGAGGCATTTCAATAACATATTTATCAAATTTTGAGACTCACACCGCCAAGTTTAAAATATGCTGTAAACGGGATTTAGCTCAGCAGTACGATTTGGAAAAACATAGAAAATCAACAACTTTCGACAAAAGTTGACACTTTAATTCTTATACCATTCGATTTGTCGCAGAATTCTGGTTCGGGAACATATTCAAACTTTTGCTACTTTTTGCTCCTCTCGGAGTAAAGCGGTCTATAGTATCGAGAACGGTACTACGGCGGCGCCCGGCTCAGAGCGATGAGGAGCATGCAGGCTACCGCGCGTTTGACCCCTGACCTGACCTTTCATGACGTCACATATTTGACGTCATACCGTTCAGCCAATGAACGACGGCACTTACTCTTGAAATGCATCCTATAGGATTACTCCTCCACCTGATATGACTGAACAACTGAATTTCGTCTGAATGCCAGCCCGACGAATATTGATAAGGGTGATATGCAAAGGTGGATATCAACTGCTCGAAATTGTTAATCGGAAATGACTCATCCATTTTGGCTGGCATATCAGCTATTGATTTATTACCAATACGTGCTTATTTTCTATATTTTAAATTAACGGTGTTGCTTATAGCCGTAAGATAACAGTTCATCTTGTTGAAATTTTCTGTCACAGTAAATCGATAACGCGGTTTTGCGACGATCTTTATGCCTGATTTAATGTGCTTACCCTTTCCATCTTTCCATTTTTTTCGTGGCAGACGGTTGTTGAAATATTGATCAGTACTGAATTACTGATATGTTAGCTGCATTACCTAAATGGTCTGGATTAACGACGGTGTGAATCAGGGCCTTGTTTCGCCGGTGATAGCAGCACGCTGCTTTTACACGTGTCAAATTGGGTTTCCATGGAAACATCAACAGGCCCATTGCTCCAACACTACCACAAGTGTGACGTCAGCTCGCGCAATTTGATAGCAGCGTGGTAGCAGCATGCCGTGAAACACCGCCCAGGTAGGTATTCAGAACACTCGGAGGATGTGCTCATCTTTACAGCCGTAGAGAGATTACTTGTGATTACGGAGCGAGCGAAGCGAGCGGAGTCTTACGTAGAATAACGGAAATTTCTGAGTATGAGCGGCCGGCCGGCCGGCCGGCCGGCCGTGGTCACGCTTTTGCGAGGCTTATATCTCAGCAACCACTTGACCGATTTACATGCGGTAATTTTTGTGGGGTAGCTTCATTCCTTCTACCAAGTATTGGACTATTCCCGATGCCTGTGGGTGACCCCTTATGCACGTGCCACGTGCAAAACGAAGAGGTGTCACTTTTGTAATTGTTGCAATATCTCGGTAACTACTTGGCCGATTGCGCTGAAAGTTGGCATGTAGGTAGGCACCCACTAGGCACTGCATATCCATGTGCCAGAGTTGGGGTGCTGCTGCACGTGCGCACGTGCAGGGGTCGTTTCCAGATCTCGAGAACGGCTGGACCGATGGCGCTCAAATTTGGTACATGGTTAGGGACCGGTTAGTAGGGTGCCGTGCAAAAGTCAGTTGGGACCCATTTTGCACGTGCGCACGTGCAGGGTGCCGCTTCCAGATCTCGAGAACGGCTGGGCCGATTGTGCTCAAATTTGGCACATCGCTAGAGACCGGTTAGTAGGGTGCCGTGCACAAGTCAGCTGGAGGTACCCCTTCGAAATTTCGCACGTGCAAGGCTCACCCTCTCGCTCGCTCCGTTAGTCGCCCCAAAAGGCGCTATACTGGTACGTAGAATAACGGAAATTTCTGAGTATGAGCGGCCGGCCGGCCGGCCGGCCGGCCGTGGTCACGCTTTTGCGAGGCTTATATCTCAGCAACCACTTGACCGATTTACATGCGGTAATTTTTGTGGGGTAGCTTCATTCCTTCTACCAAGTATTGGACTATTCCCGATGCATGTGGGTGACCCCTTATGCACGTGCCACGTGCAAAACGAAGAGGTGTCACTTTTGTAATTGTTGCAATATCTCGGTAACTACTTGGCCGATTGCGCTGAAAGTTGGCATGTAGGTAGACACCCACTAGGCACTGCATATCCATGTGCCAGAGTTGGGGTGCTGCTGCACGTGCGCACGTGCAGGGTCGTTTCCAGATCTCGAGAACGGCTGGACCGATGGCGCTCAAATTTGGTACATGGTTAGGGACCGGTTAGTAGGGTGCCGTGCAAAAGTCAGTTGGGACCCATTTTGCACGTGCGCACGTGCAGGGTGCCGCTTCCAGATCTCGAGAACGGCTGGGCCGATTGTGCTCAAATTTGGCACATCGCTAGAGACCGGTTAGTAGGGTGCCGTGCACAAGTCAACTGGAGGTACCCCCTCGAAATTTCGCACGTGCAAGGCTCACCCTCTCGCTCGCTCCGTTAGTCGCCCCAAAAGGCGCTATACTGGTGTTAGCATGGACTGTAATAGTACGTTCTAGGCTTGTTTAAAACTCAAAATGCGTTATATTTCATAGCACTTACTTTTATACAACATTTGAGGGCACTACAAGCCTGCACCCTTCACCCAGGAATAAAGACAGGCTAAATCGGAAAAATCCCCACAGTGTGATGGTGGGTAATTTGATCGGCGCCCAATGGCTACAGCCTGTCGAAGGCCGAGTGCTACCACTTGGTGTGCCATTTGCGATCAGAGTGTGTGGGAGGGATGCAAAATAGAGCAGTGGCATCAGATATTCTTCCAAAAATGTCCACGTATAAATAGTTACTGGCACAATTGCATGACATATTGCAAGAACCCACGAAAGAATCATATCATGTTGCCTTCAAGAAGGCTAACAAAGGATTTATTGTAAACTATCGATTTGTGAAATCCGAGTGGAAATACCTTCTCCCTTATTCAGCATTTATAAGGAATGCAATACGCATGCAAGCATTGTGTAAACATGAGATCTATGCCCCGTTCACTATAGACTCATGGTGTTCTCTAGGTATAAATATACTGATAAGTGACGAATCGACTCTGAAATTAGTCTGTGAATTGCCGAATTTGTTTATCGCACTTCTGTAGCTCCCAACCGTTCAGGATTGTATGCTCTCGAGCCGTCAGTGTCCCATCAATTTCTTTTTTACAGTCTGGAATTTGTGAGCGGGATCTGCCAGACATTTTCGCTTTCGCCCGTGGTCCCGTATTCGGCCGTCGGCGCCCGGAATGTGCATGAGAACACCGCGTAACATGCATTCCGTTATTAGTCATAATTAGTCTTCAGATCGTTATACGACCAAAAGCGGCCGAGGCCCACATACATCTCATCACCTTTTTGTTAGTGGCACATGCATGACGAAATATTAGCTCCGGTAGCGTGCTAAATGTCGGAGCACCGCTGTTTAAACAGAGCTTAAACATGGAAGACGGCTGATAAAGAGACAGCGAAACCTTAATTGCATTGATGGAATGAGTTTTTGATTGCAATGCTCTGTATGTAAATTTCCTTGAATCATGTCTCTGCTCACTTAACAATGATTTATTGTTCCAAGCAGCCGCCCACAATGCGCCATAATTTATGCTACCTCAGCACCAGCGTCATGAAAAACAATTACGGCGTATTAGGCTGAATTATGTCCGAGTGCGCTCGGCAGAGACCGTCATTTTGTGGAGCCGAGGTGGCGAGAGAGCCACCGTCTTCAACGACTGTGGCCGCCCACCGAAGACAGCTGCAATTCAAATTTGACATAGCAACACACTCAGGGCGAATCATCCAGCGCTGATTGGCAAACACAAGACAGGCGGACATATGTAAGGGCAGGTATTTATCTAGACAGGACAGGCAGGATGATCATGCAAACAAAAAGATGACAGATTAGAAGAGTTAGACATTTGGTTTTCTCACAATGACAACACAATAACGATGTAAATAAGACCAGACGTTTCGGACAACAAAGTGCCTTCGTCAGTGGAAAATAAGATATAGGCTTTACATCGATAAAATTTAGATGACAACAAGCCTGCACGAAAAAAAATCGTATATAAAATATACTTGGCACGATTTTTTTTCGTGCAGGCTGGTTGTCATCTATATTTCATCGATGTAAAGCCTACATCTTATTTTCCACTGACGAAGGTACTTTGTTGTCCGAAACGTCTGGTCTTATTTACATCGTTATTGTATTGTCATTGTGAGAAAAACCAAAAAGATGACGTTTGAAGTAGGTACAGTTACCGTATAAGTCTACATACATTTAGTTAAATGTGGGAAAAGATTAAAACCATTGCCTGACAAAGAAAATTCATAATTTTTTGTAGCTCATCTATTTTTTTTTAATAAAAACGATTTTTTATACCTTTCCTCCAATACTCGTGATAAGAAAGTAAAAATTAATTGTAACATGTCTAATTCCTATAAATTCAATCAAGAAACCTTCCAATTTTATTTCCCAGCTGTGGATGATTTTCCATATGCATTATATTTCCGATTCTATTAGTTGCAGTGCTTTTAATAATCATTTTCCATTACAAATTTTACCGTTTAGAAACAATTTTTTTAACTTTGTCAGGGCCAGCTACTTTTTGATCAATTTTGTTGGAATCATTTTGCGAGATTTCTTACC